ACAGTGGTGTAGGAAAATATTTTTGGCCAGAGAGACTTCTGTCTCTCTGAAAAAATAAATTTTACTAAAAAAAAACGACAAATAAAACCCTTTAAATACATCTTGAGGCTCCTTAACCTAGTTGCTTGAGGGACAGTAAATGTTGCTTACACTGGCCTTGATGAAGTTAGACTACTGATACTGCACACAGATAAAGATATTTACATAAATAGTTCTAAATTTTTCATGCCCATAAAATACTGTAGTTCTTAAAACCAATGCCGGATTAAGACTTGCTGGGTCTGAGGATATTTTTGAGCAGGTGGCCTTTTTTTCTAATTAAAGTGGTAAAAAAACTTTACATAAATCCTCTTAAAAATTTTGGAGTTCCTAAATCTCCAGGACATTGAGTTGTAACCCCCATAATCCAGGACTGGTTTAAACATTCCCTCCTTAGTTTTTCAATTATAAACTTTTACGCAAAAAACCTAACAATTATGCTAATTATGCCTTTCAAATAGTCTACCCTTTCTGAGTCTCCCATGGGTATATGCACCTTCTCACTGCCATATTTTAGATTTGTCTGAATTCTAGACTTTTTTACATTACTTTTGTATAAGATCCTATCAAAGTTATTGTAGAATATAAGTAAATTTACTTACTTTAAATAAATTACTCTTAATTTACAAATTATATAAAATGTAAGCATGTGTAATTTAAATTTTATTTTATACAATTTATTTTTAATAAAGATTTACTATTACTTTTAAAATAAATAAAATAAATATTTTATTTGTAAATTTAATTTACATTTAGTAGCATATTACTTTTAAGTAATTTACTTTTATATGCAAGTTTTTTTTAAATGTAACTTTTTTTAATTAGTTACTTTTATAGGTAAATGTAAATGACAGATTGAGAAACTTTTAAATTATGTGAAGTAATTTTAAAAGTAATTAAACTTTAAATGTAAAAGTAAACAGCTTTTTCATGTGACTTACTTTTACATGTAAAACTAAATGACATTTTGATGTAATCTTCTTTTACATAACTTACTTTTGAAAGTAAAAAAACTTATAAAGTAAAAGTCATTTCAAAAAAATTAATTACTTATACGGAAATGTAAATTTACATTAAACGTTTAAAATTACTTATGTAATTTATTTTTTGATCAAAATTAACTTATTTGCATAAGTAAAAAAAAAGTAAGTAAAAGAGCCCTACCATTGACAACTTATTGAACAGTATCAAATTAACAATCAAACAGTATAAAAAAGAGATCTTTGAATGTGTTGACAAACTATTTAAGACCTTATCTGAAGATTAAGTGAAAATCCACAAAATTGTAAAGAATGTCCTCCATTAGAAGCTAACTCTTTGTCTATATATTAACAAACCATTATACAAAAAACAAAAAATAAAAACAGTTTTATTTATATATTGAACTCTTCAAATACCTGTTGGACACCTAAAAAGTATGTAGCATTAGATCTATATCTTAACATGCTGAATTCTATTTCAAGTGGAGGTAGTGATCTTAATAGTTTTTTGACAGCTTGTCAACAATGATTTATGTATGTCTGTTTTTTAATGATTTATGAAAGTCTATTCTTCAACTAATAATGGAAATTCCTGTGTTTATTGTTCTAAGCAATTCCCTTTAATATTTATCATGTGAAACTTCTCTAAACCCCTAAATAAGCATCATATGGATCTCTGATGAAAGCTCTAATCAGCCATCATGCACTTAATATTATATCACTTAAAGATTTTAAATATCACAAAATATTAAATACATTTTTATTTATTATTTTTTTAAATAAGAAAAAAAAACCAACTTTAACTCAACTCTTGATGATAACAAAGCAATGAATAAAGATTAAAGTCTTGTATTACAAGGTTGCGTTACTTCTTTTTTGCCTTATTCTAGTAAGGCCTAGTTTTTGAAAGCATTTCCTTGTACTTCTTATGTTTGGTGTCAGTTATTATTTTTATTGCTTTTGATTTTTTACTTGCTTTTCCACATACAAGAATTCTTTTAATTCAATTTAAAGGGAGTGGAATCAGGATTATAAAACTCTGGATTTGGCTTTAAGTAAGTTAAATAAAGCAGCTTCCGAAGCAGAAAGCTTAATCTGCAAATTTTTGAGTTTTATACATTTCATATACAACCTGTTAGCTTTATAATTGCTAGAATAATGTTAAGATCATTGAATTAAGAAAATAAAAAAAGATGCAACTATTATGACTACAAGACAGTGATTAAAGTTTGAAAAAAAATCAAATAAGTTTACAAGGTGTTATCTCACATAGTCTAAAACAGAAAAAGCATAATTTAGTCCAGGGTAATACAGACTTACTTTCAAAGAAGTTACAAATTTACAAAGTTAAGTTCCTTAAACTATTAGAGGTTGGCATTATGTTAGCAAAAAAATTTTGACATAAGGTCTTACCATAAAACGTAAAAAAAAGGTCAGCTTTTTTTTGCCGACTTTATGCACTTTACGCTCTGCAGTTAGATTGGCATTGCCGACCCTAACTCCGAGGGTTGTATGTATATATACATATACATTCAAGATAACACTAATAAAATGGTCTATTATATAGAAAAATGAAAACAAATCTTCTAACAAATACCCATTAAAAACAAACTTTTAATTTATTTGAGTATCAAAAATAAAAATAAAAATAAAAAAAAACCCATGGTAATTCCTAAAAAAACACTGATTAACCTAATTTATGGAACTGCAAATACATTCAAATACAACTATTTAAGAAATTTTTTTATTAAATGCAATACAAATACAAATATGCCAAATCAGCCTATTTTTACCAAATACAAATACAAATGTGCATTTGACCCCAACGCTGCCTTTACTTCAAAAAATAATGATAATAATAAACAAATAAATAAAAGCACAGTTAAATAGGCAATCTGATCTAAAAATAAAAAAGAGAATTTTTGATGCAAAAAATTCACATGAAGCTAATGCATTAAGCATTTTTTATTTAAAACATTGTTTACAATAAAAATTTTGTATTGTATTAAACAGTATTATATTTTTGACATATAATGAGGGCAGCCATTGTCCTTGTAAATATTACATATATATATATATATATATATATATATATATATATATATATATATATATATATATATATATATATATATATATATATATATATATATATATATATATATATATATATATATATATTTATATGTATATATATATATTAGGGGCGTCATGCTTTATGAATATTTAAAATACTTAATTAACTAGTACCTGTAAAGTATAGCGCTGAGTTTTAATACTACCAAGTCAAGTGGTTTAAGAAGATGTGGTATTACTTATCAACATCTAGAGCTAAGGAATGTTACTTATGCAGAGCTTTAATGCTAGTTAATCATATTTATAACACATAAAAATGGTAACTAATATGTTGCAAATTAAGTTTATACAAAGCTTAGACATTAAGTTATTTTTATTTTAACATTTGGCAAGATTAACTCGGTTTACTTTTTCAATCATGTTTCCTATTTTTTGTTCTTATACCTGCTGTTATTTTAATGTAATTTGTAATTTTATACGTTTTATATGCTGTAATTTTATATGTTTTAACCAAATTTCCAAAAAATTATGATATCTTAAGGTTACAGTGACCATATTGTATTTGAAAAATAAAGTGACAATACCAAATGATCAAGCTATACAACCGATGTACTACAGCATCACATCTGTAGAAATTACTGTCCTTTAAAATCACTAAGCCAACAATTTGTTCTTTGATAAATATTTTCTTCATAATCTTTGTTAAACCTCATCCTTGTATATTCTTTGTTAAACCTCATCCTTATATATTCTTTGTTAAACCTCATCCTTGTATATTCTTTGTTAAACCTCATCCTTGTATATTCTTTGTAAACCTCATCCTTGTATAATCTTTGTTAAACCTCATCCTTGTATATTCTTTGTTAAACCTCATCCTTGTAAATTCTTTGTTAAACCTCATCCTTGTGTATTCTTTGTTAAACCTCATCCTTGTATATTTTTTGTTAAACCTCATCCTTGTATATTCTTTGTTAAACCTCATCCTTGTAAATTCTTTGTTAAACCTCATCCTTGTGTATTCTTTGTTAAACCTCATCCTTGTATATTTTTTGTTAAACCTCATCCTTGTATATTCTTTGTTAAACCTCATCCTTGTATATTCTTTGTTAAACCTCATCCTTGTATATTCTTTCAGTTTGGACTATATATGTGTAAGAAGAATAGTAGCACTTATTTTTAATCAAGTCCACTCAACAATGTAACAACTTTGCATTACAGCAATTCAGGTTTTACAACAATGTGGGAATTATTTTTGTATTAGCTTCTTTCTTCTTTTGGTCATGATAGTGATCATGCTGGTCAGTACTCACTACTCCTATGGATATCTAACCTGTTAGAACACTTAACAACTTTAATCTATTCTTAAAATCAGCACTTCCGTGTCTATCTGACAGGACAGCTCTTTGAATTTATCACACAGAAGCTGTATAAATCTTGCTATCTTAAGGTTATAATGACATTTTATACTTGTAAGATTACTTAATAACATTGTATTGACCTTTTATACTGTATAACAAATATAAAGTTAAAATAACGTACTTTGATTTTGAACAAAATATAAATTTTGATTGAAAATTAAATCCAGGACAAATTAGGAAGTTTTTAAAAAAGAAATAAAAATAATTAAAATATATTTTAAATTATAAAAAATTGATAAATAAAGGTATTTAAATAATAGTTATTTACAACCTTACAATTTAAAATATTTATAGCTTTAGCTAAAGTATGCCTCCAACCATAACAACAACAGCTATGACAACGCCTCTAATTGTATCAATTAATGCTATGATTATGCCTTTACATCATGACTAAAACAATGATTCTCAAGGAACAATAGCTATGCTATTGAGTTTCTAAATGTATTTTGAGCAAAAAAAGTATGTATATTTATTGATAATATGTTACCTAATTATTCCGGCTCTGATTTTTTTGTATAGTTCTGGCTTCACATTTGAGAAAATATTGCAATGTGGCTAAAAATTATTTAGATAACAAAATTTACAAATAACAATAAATATTATGGAAAACCGTTAATTAAATGAAAATTACTTAGCATACCTGACTAAGAATATCAAAAGCAACAGCTGCATGATGGTTCTCCAATGGAGAAATATCATTATATCTGATTGCAAGTTCTTTCCTTGCATTCACTTGATAACTGTTATTATGTCCAGGATGATCTAGGTCATGACAAAATGCTGCTACAATCAAAATTAAAACTTCATATGGAGGTATCATATGTTGCACTTCACTTAAACATATCATGCCATACATCTGAGGAAAATAGTCAATTGAAAAACTTAATAATTATAAAAATATAGTAATAAAAATTATTTTTATACAACATAAAACCTAGTAAAAATTAAAACAAGTAAAATAAAAATTTTTTTGTCCGTAATTAAACTTTATTCGAAGCTAGTTTATCTTCCTAACTACCATAAACTATCCCTGTACCAACTACTATTTCTGTCATACTTAAAAACATCGTCCAAAGCTTTCCTATTTTCCTATTTACCATAAATCATCACTAGCTTGATGTCATATTTTCAATTTTTTTTCTCTCTCTCCAATTAATTAAAAAAAAAAAAAATTAAATAAACCATTAACTCAAATGTCTGAAAATCACATAATTTTCAGCATTACCTTACCATTGTCCAGATTATAACGTAAACAAGCAAATAAATGTTAACAAGCAAAAAACCAAGATTTAAGACAGCTAGTCTGTTTGTTTTCAGACGCGATCTTGAAGATAATTTATTTGCTGTTTCTACTCCTATAAAACTCTTTTTTAGCCTAAGTACTAATAGTGTTCTTGCATAGTTGTCGAATTTAAACAAAATTATATTGTAACAAAATCATACCATTTGAGTGACGCAGAAGCAATGTCGAAAATTATGGTAAGGAACTAGGTTGTAATGTTTGTAAACTGAAAAAATAAATTGCTGGAGTGTGGACATCTAACAAAATAAAAATGAAATTTTAGATGACCAAAACATTTATAACATTATACACAAAATATAAAAAGATAAGAAATTATCTTAAAAATCATTGTAAAAAATACATTAGTCAAAATGGCATCTTTCAATTCATATAGCAAGAATTAATTTATTAAATTGATTGATTTTTTTTTTATCAAACCTGTATGCCTATCTTACTTAAAGTAGATTTCGTTAGGTTATCAAAGTTATTGATTAAAAAATGTGTTGCTTAATATTGGTCATGTGAAAATGTTAATTAACTAGTTAAATAATTAATAGCTAATCATTCTTATTTAACTTGAGTCTTTAATACCTATTCAACAAATATTTTCACATCATTTAAACATAACTGTTTTAATGGATTTTTTTATTGTTTAATTTGTTTTTGGAATAATTTTTTAGCATATTTATCCATGATAAATACGCTTCAAAATATTTACAAAATAAAACATTTACAAAATAAATACAGTTTTTAAGACTTATCAAATATAAAAAACTTATCAAATATAAAAAACTTATTAAATATAAAAAAAATATATGGTTGATATGTTATTATTTATACATAAATTGCAACTATTATTTCATTACAAGATTCAAGTACGATACTTTTATTGAAAAAATAAGTTTAAAATTTTTTTGTGGCTTTCGTAATTAATTTCAACATAAACATCATTTTTGTAAAAGCTAGTTATTTTTTCAATGACAGGTTTGTAGAAAACAATTGCTTACAATAATAGCATTGTAAAAACAAAGTAAATACAATATCAACAAATTATATAGTACATAATTTGTCATTTCAATTAAAATACATCTGTTTCAATAAAAATTCACCGCTTTCACTTAGTTTGTATTTTAAGTCGATCATTGAAAATCGATCAAAAAAACTATTTTTGCTAGAACTAGTATAAAAAGTTCAACTGCTCAATGTATTGATTATTGACCAACTACTGAAAAAGTTTAGTTAAACGTTACTTAATAGAAATAAATAACTGTATGAAATAAAGAACTGGATGTGTTGATCCATAACAAAACAATGAACAAAAATTTATACCAAGTAACTCATACACTTCAGTTCACACTCAATTGACAGATTTTGACAATTGACAGCTAATATTAGAATCTTCCTTAATCTTTGATATTATAGGCTTTGATTCCTAGAATTAAATTTGACAACTTTCCAACTCTTGCTGAATCCTTCACGCCATTTGAAAATTTTTAGTTTTTCAGCGTTGTTTGGACACACCATAATAAAATACCATATAATCTTGCTAATTCCCATTAACTTCAGAATTGTTTCGACATATCACACATTTTTACTATTTCTCATTGACTTAATAAACTGACTATTTATTATTTGATTTTTTGTAATACTGATTTTGTTCATTTTCTACTTCATGTGTGCAAAGAATTTACCAATTTAAGTATTTCTTGAATATCTGGTTAGAAATTGATTTTTTTTCCAAATTTATCTGTAATACATATTGGTCAAAGCGGGTACAAGTTTTTAGAATTCTTGTATGACTCATTTAAGTTAAAATTTACTAACCTTAATCAAAAATCTAATTTGAAACTGACCTTTTAATTTTGAAAACCAATGTGTGTGTATGTATATGTATATATATATATATATATATATATATATATATATATATATATATATATATATATATATATATATATATATATATATATATATATATATATATATATATATATATATATAGTCTTTTTTTAATTTAACTTTTTATATATAGTCTTTTTTTAATTTAATTTAAAATAATAAATTTTAAAAAGCCTTATTTTACATATGATTAATGTGTTAAAACTTTAGTCTAAGGAAGGAATAAGATACTCAAAAACTTTTTCATTTTAAATAGAAATCCCTAAAATAGAATTAAAATATTTGAATATCCTAAAAAATAGTAAATAACAAACTACAATAATACTAGAAAATAATATTCCTGACACAAAAGCAGTAGTTTATAAAAGATATATGTTTAATATTTTCAAAATTTTTTGTAAAACATAATTAGAAAATGTTGAATAGAGGTTATTCAACATTTTATAATTATGAGAGACTAGGTAAAATAATGACTAGATTTTTTATTTATCTCAAGATAGATAGAAAATCTATCTAACTTGAGATAGATCTCAAGATAGATAGAAAATCTATCTATCTTGAGATACATAAATTTTCTTAAAGAATCCTTTATTAGATTTTTAAATCCCACCTCTGCAACAAAAGCAGTTTTTTACCTAATATTTTACAGCTTATTGACCTAAAATCATTTTTTTACTTTCAAAGATGTTCCACAAAATATTTTTGCATTTACAAGGGCATTAAAATATAAAAAGTTTAAAGATTTTTATATTTTTTTCATTTTACCTTTATTAATTTGAACTTAACAAATTTAAGCAACATGGATTTTAGCAATCCTTTTTTAACAATAATTTGTTGGCATATATATATATATATATATATATATATATATATATATATATATATATATATATATATATATATATATATATATATATATATATATATATATATATATATATATATATATATATATATTTATGTTAACTCACCAACACCAAGGCCACGAAGGTCACTACAGTCAAGGAAGCTACTATTAATTGTGTTTACAACTCTCTATCTCTCTAACTCGTCTAATTAATTGTGTTTACTAACTCTCTAACTCCAAAACATGAAACATGATGAACAAGGCTGCTGTTTGGAGAAATAAGTTGAGCACAGTACTATTAGAGACCTGGGGGGGATCAATTTCGGAACTTCTTGCTTATGGGGCGAGTGCTCTATCACTACACCACTACCACACTATATTATTAGACTTTGTCATCCATAAAATGAGCTAAATGAGGCAAGATCATTGTTATTGCATATAGATTTTGTTGTAAACCTCAATGCAGCAAATAAACAAATATTTATAAAAACATATTAATTCATTACAAAACAGAGTACAAAACTTGTTTCAAGTCTTATCCTCAAGACTTTACCCAACTGTTTTTCTTATTTCAGTAATCTCAGTGAACCAGTGCAGTAGAGCACATAGACTTTATTTTTATCATTTTCAATTATTATCTTCTATTACATAATGTTCACATGTTGGTTAAAAAACTATATACTTACTGTTTGAAAAAATTCAGCTTTTCTCAATTACCTAGAGCCTGCTTAAGTATACTATTTCTTTTTCATAACTTAAGCATTTAAGTTTAAACATAAATTTTATATTTAATAACTTCTCCCAGGTTAAAAATGCTATTTTACTCGGATATATCATTGAAAAAAAAAAATATCGGTTTATAATGCTAAATTTAAGAGTTAAATTTCTATTATATTTTAAAACTTGCCTCAAGTTTTTTACTCTAGATGTGTTATGGCAAGACCTATTAAAATGTAAGTAATACAAGGACTTGTATATACTATACATTTAAGTCGAGTCTTCACATGTTAACTAAAAAAAAAGCATGCAAGACATCAATTTAATTTGCAAATTAGACAAAAAAACTTCTTCGTTTCCTAAGTAACAAATGTTGCAGTTAGCTGTAGGACATTGTTCAAGACATAAAAAGAATAAACAACCAAAACGATGTATTCTTTGACATATGTGAAATACATACATCAATATGAAAAGTTTCAACAAGTCCAAGATCCAAAAACATTTGCTGAACAAGAAACATCATCTCTGCATCTTCCCACTGCCAATTATCAAATGAAGGGCGGCGTAACTTTTCTAGAGTTTCTTCAGAAGTCAATCCGGATCTAAAAAGTTAGCTAATAAAAATCAATTTTTACTTTAATTGTGTATTTTTTTTTAAATAAAAAAATATTTTAAACACCTGAAATATAAAAACGCTACCCCATTTTAAGAAATTTATTGAGGACCTCTTCATACTCTGATTGAGTTCTTCGCAGCTTAGCTGTCTTGTCCAGATTGCTGTAAGGTAAAGCTGAAGGACCACTAAAAATATTGACCTTATATTTTAGGAAAAAACTTTTTTTAAACAAATACAATTTTTAAGAAAAATTGATACAAAACAATAAAGATAAATAAAGATGTTCCTATAGTAAAAACATTAAATTTACAGTTAGTGGTAAAAAATGGCTCTTAACAACTCTTTGTCTTTAAAAATGACAAAATCAAGTACAATTAAAGTAAAACTGAAACAATTACATTTAATTGGGAAAACTATTTAAATTTTATCATGTTTTTAAAAAACACATAAATTTAACTTAATAGACTAGAGTGTTTTAATTTTTTTAATAAAAAAAACAAAAATATTGTTGAATGTTTTAATTTTTTATTGTTTACATACATCAACTGACAAATAGGTAGAATATGAGAGGAGTGCAGCTACATTGTCTGAGAAATAGGTGGAACATGCAAGGAGTGTTGCTAAATCAACTGAGAGTTTAGGTTTGGGCAGGCTATCTATCAAATGAAAATTTTTTTTTAATTTTTTACCTTTTTTTGGTCTTTTAAATTAATTTATTACCTGTGGATGTTAAATATATATTTGTGGATGTGGATCTTATATATATATATATATATATATATATATATATATATATATATATATATATATATATAATATATATATATATATATATATATATATATATATATATATATATATATATATATATATATATATATATATATATATATATATATATATATATATATATTTATGGCTGATAATTGCCTACAAGGCATGAAACCTCAATTTGCATAAATTGTTGTGAATGTTAAATAAAATTTGCCAAAGACTCAAAACAGAAATCAACAATACCACTTTGTGGAGTAAAAAGATGATAAAAGAAGAAAAAGATGATAAAAAATAAAAGATGGTAGACAATAAAAGAAGGTAAATAATTAATAAAAAATGTAAATGATACTTCAAATGGTATACAAGATAACAATAAAAAAAAGGTAAACAGAAAAAAAAAAGGAAAAAAGATAATAAACCATAAAAGAAGAAAAAGAGTTGACTATCTCAAACTTTAATGGTTTTTAGTATACAAGTATTCTTGAAAAACTTCACTCAAAATTTTGAGTATCTAACTTCTTGTGACTTCAAAGTTATTGATACTTTGTCTCTTGACATTTGCTTTCACTTGATTTTTTAAACTGTGTAACAAAATTATTCTAAACATATTTAATATTTGTTTAATAGTGATGAAAATCTGTACTTATTTTTAAGTACAGATTTTCATCACTAAGTTTTTTGATAACTCATACAAAAAAAGTGATATATCTATAAGACATGCTTCTAACTTTTTTTCTTCTAACAAACAAACTTTATTATAGAAAAAAAACTCAAAAACGAAAAAAAGAGTTTTTCTTTTTTTTCTTTTAATTTGATTTATTTGGATTGAAAGTTTTTAAAAAATATATTATAAATATATATTTTTAAATAAACACTAAATAAAATTAAAAAAAAAAAAAAAGATTTGTAGAACTCCAGTAAACTCGAGTACAATTTTAGTATACAAATTTGCATTTTCTTTTTTAAATTCTAATTTTTAAACTATATAAACTTATATGCATTTCACTTCAAACTATATAAACTTATATGCATTTCACTTCAAAGTCAATAAACTTATATGCATTTTATTTCAAACTATATAAACTTATATGCAATTCACTTAAAAATACTTAAAGTTATGTGCATTTCACATCGATGTATATAAACTTCACTTCGATGTATATAAACTTCACTTCGATGTATATAAATTTCACTTTAATGTATATAAAGTATTTCACTTTAAAGATGTAAAAATCTTTAAACAATAAATATTTTTAAGTTACATGTTTTTTTTTTATCTACAAACTAAATTACCAATATGAATGATAAAGAAAGCTGTTCAACTAGTTTAAAAAATAAAGAAATTTGTCATAAACATATGTGAAAAGCATAGATGTCAAGAAAGTTTCAAGTCTCAATGATGTAGAAAAAGATTATATCTAGTTGCTCTGGGATTAAAATGGATGAAAAAGCTACAGATTTCTTACACCGCAAATAAATTAACTTAAAGCACTACGCTACAATTTACAAAATTTGCTGTAATTCATTTAATTTACACATTTAAAAAAGCAGAAAAGATAAATATTAATAATTATTAAAGATAATTATTAAGATAAATATTAAATGTTTTTAAAATTACTCAACATATGCAAATTCATGCACAATGATCACTCAAACAAGTCAATGTGGTTCTGCTTTTTGCTTGATATAGCTAGCATTCAAAGAGAAGTAGATCTTGCCATTCTAGAAGAGCCATAAGTAAGGGGTTATCTGATTTAGCAATGTAAAATCACAAATGAAATAAAATGTTTTTTTCTATTCCATTTGTGATATTTTATTGCTGTTAATGTTCCACAAGAATATCAGCAAATCA